ATTAGAAAACTATTTGCACATATTCAGAACCTTTTATTACTCAGCTCAGGTATCCTTTACTGTCTTTCATCTTAAATAATTGAATCAATCTTTTCTCTTGGACCACATTCATTCAGAATTTTGCACAGCTTTCCCCAAAACTGGTGCCATCGTTCACTGAAATGTAACTGTGACCCATTTATGAATTTATATCTTCATATATACCCACAACAATCTTGATGATGAAATATATTTTAGCCTTTTCATTCATAATTAAACCTATACCTTCACTTCAGTGGATATTATTCGTCAATCCTGTGTAAGTAAAAATAAATAAGTAAGTAAGTAAATAAATCCTTCTCCCCAAAATCAGACCTCCTTCATTCAGATCTATTATCTTTATATCTTTCTCCTTTCATGTAGTTTCATGGGCACACAACATACCTGTTTTTTTCCCCCTTTTGTTTCCTTCATTAATTTATGTACTCTACCATTTATTCTTCTTACATTCTGAGTTGCAATTTTCCATATACCAGGTCATCACCCATAGATATCACCTCCACTGCTCTTCATGGCTTTGTTCAGCCAAGGCTTTCAGACAGAGAAGGTGTAATCTACTTACCAGCCAGAGTTGCTATGCAGCATATTCTGCTAATGGTAAGGACAGGACCAGGCAGCTTTTTCACATATTGGCCAATATGCCATAAATTCAAGAAAATCCTGGTTTTACCCCAAAATAAACTCATGCTATTCTGTGCAAACTAGGGTCTCTAATTTAGAGACTATCTGGAAGCCAACGTACTGTTCTCTGCATCCCACCTATGAAGTACAGGGGGTATAACCAGAAGGTACAATTGGGATACAACCAAAATTGGAATGATTTTTGTTACTATTTTAAAGATATTAATTAACTTCTTTTCTGTTACAGAATGGTGAACTAATTTATGGTTGCAAAGATAATGAGGATTCTCTCTCTGATTTGAATGAACTTGCTTGCCATCTGAAACCTTTTTTCTTTCCTTCAAATGGCCTGGTCAGTGGGCCTCATTGTACAAGGACGATTCTGAAAGAATTGATCCATGTAATAACAACGATTCTACTGAATAATACAGATACCTGCAAAGCAGGTGATTTGAAGACAGTTCCCAGCTCACAAGGAAGATGCTATTGTGAAGCCAGTGCTTTCAGTAAAGAGCTAGTACGGAATGGTAAGAATTGTTTTGCTTCATTTGCCATCTGGAAATCAGATGCCGCTCTTCAGTAATTGGGCAGTGCCTTGAGCTGCAAGATATCTGTCATTCTGGCCTCTTCACATCCCAAAATATACTATCTAAAATTTGCTTTGCTTTCAGTTTTAATATAGAATTTACCCTACCCTGTATGTATTGGTTTAGGACCCCAAAAACTGTATTTTTAAAAAAGCATTAACTAGTCACTCTAAGGATGGCTGAGCTACCTTCAGAGAGAAGGGAATCAAGTACAAAACTATTAATAGTTGTTTGTCTGACTGTTCTCATGATTAACCTGAACTACTGATAAATATCTAATGAGAATAAGCCAATTGCCTTTTTGCAAAAATGACATTTTTTGCATTTTGTATGGTGTGAAATAAGCTACCCACCCTCCTAGTGCTGTCTGTAGTTAGATTTCCCTTCTAGTTTTTGTTGTTGTTGCTACCTCAGGTTTTGAGTTATGTATTAAGCACTACATTGTGACATAAATCTGCAACATGAAGGAAATATCATTTTTCAAGAAGTTAATGTATATGCCAGTGTAGAAAACCTAAAATGTATTCTAGGTATCTACTTTTCCATGCCAGAAGCACTTAAATTATTGGTTTCTGTCAACCCAGAATATTTGCTTTATAGCTACGGTTAACAAAGCTGTATTAATTATAAAACTATAATATGAAAGAGATAATTCCACTGTGTAAAATGTACTTTCATATACAGATTAGTTAAAACAAACAGTCTGTTTTGCTAATTACTCTTTCTCCTGAATAATCGTGGGGAAAAATTGAGCAGATAGAAAATAATTAAGTATTTTTCTAGGAATATTTTCCATAAATTCTGAACAAATTTAGACCATGTTTTAAAATATGCTATTTAGGATCATTTTCATAGACCTTCCTCTCGTATAGGGAAAGAACAATACAAATCTGATGTCACAGTTTCTCCTTCTGAAAAGTTCTTTCATAGAAGAGCAGTGGCTTCTTTGTTCCCATTTTTGAAATCTGTGTTTATGTAGTAGAAGGATCACACCTAAATTCTCTCCTATTTTTATGTCCCCTGCTATTTGTGATCAGAGAGATTGGTATATCTATTGTAAAAGCTGTTTGAAACTTGTTCTTCTTTTTAGCTAAAAATAAAGTAGAGACCTCTGGCTTGCCAAAGGGATGTCTTCTCTACAAAACACTTCAGGCTCAAATGCTGGATACACTGGATATAGAAGGTGTTTATCCTTTATACAACAGAGTAGAGCAATACTTGGAAGAGTTTCCCAAAGAGAGGTAAGTGATATTAGGTTTCAGATCAGCAAATTGGTATGGTCAGAGGAGACCTAAGAACATAGCACCTCTTAAAAACAATGGCGACTTAACCCCTCACATTCCTAGAGTATGACTTTAGACTTGCAGAGATAGTATGGACCTATCACCTGACTCCAAACTATTCTATCCAACTATATCGCCAATTATATAGTATCCAACTATGCTATCTCTGGTAAGTCTAGAAGTTGTATCCTAGAACTGGGAAATTATACAGCACCTAGTATTTTGTCATAATAATGAGGATCTGATTTTTCTCTCTCTATAGGCAAAGAAAAAAAAAGGAAATCAGTAGTTTCTATCACAAAATAGCTTTTTTGCAGACACATCTGAGTCAACTGTTTAAATGTAAAGTCCTGGGAAAAAACTAGAAAATTTAGCAAACTTTTTTGTGGGGTGTCTCCCTCCTTCAATATTAGTATCAGAAAAAGTGTCAGAGAAAGACTGCAATGTGTTTATAATTCTAATTGATTTTAAGAATGGAGGCTTCTGCATTCTTGAAGAAAATTATAGCTATCTGGTTTTTTTCATATGCAGTCACTGGAGAATGAAAACAATTCTTGCTATTTATAAAAAAATTATTTTTTACATGCTCAAATCATATAGGCAATATGCCTGAACTTTAGGGAAAATGGGGATGACAATGAATCTAGCGTAGGAAGAATATTTGTTTCTAATCATTGGTAACTTTCCAAACCATATTGAGCGAACATCACAGTACAAACTCTTTCTACTTTTTTAAAATTGCATTTTTGTCTCCCTTGCTTATATACTTTATTTATTTTGTTCAAATATTACATTACATATAATTTGGTGCAAATTTATTTATTTATTTAGGATAAGGCCACCCAACTCCCAGTGACTCCAGTGGTGTACAGATTAAAACAAAGTAGCCCAAGTATACTTTTCAAAGATAATTTAGAACCTCTTGGAATGGAACTGTGGCACATATATTTTACACAATACATATTTTGCTTATAGTATCAATAGTCATAAGTTGTACAGTTCTGAGGAGCCAAAAACATTCATAAACAAGGGAGAGGCATTGGCTTAAGGAAACCCCAAAATATAGAGAAGAAATATATTAAGAAAAAAAATCTGATGGAGGGTTCTTCTCCCCCAAGTAGCCCACTGAGACCTGAGGGTATTCAGTGCACATGGAATGTTAGCTTACCATTAAATGTGGGAAGTAGAGTACCTGGGGGGTAAGAACATTGAACTTTGGAAAACAGCATGGCAGGAACCTCTATTGAGGGCATTCAACACTGCAGATATTCCTTTGCAGCCCTCACTTGTCACTGCAAAACCAAAGGCTAAATACTTATTTTGGAGAGTTCTTATTTTGCAATGTTGCTTTCTTGACTGTCTCATGTAATTTTAGGCAGCAGTCACTAGAGGGGACAATATCCTCACTTGTTACACTTGAGTTGTCAGATCTGAGTTAAACAAATAGCAAATGAAACAAATTTGTTGCAGTTGTTTCATGGTACAGAAATGTGATTGACTTTCAATTCTGTGATTCTGCATTTTACTTTATTTTCTGAATGTATTCCTTTTTTCTAGGAACGTGTTACAGATTGATGGGCCTTATAATGAATCATTCTATGAGAAGTTATTAGATCTCTCAAGTGAGGATGATGGAACAGTAGCATATGCATTGACAAAGGTACCTCATATCAATCATATATGTGCATTTTGTACATTTACAATTGTATGTGCAAAAGCATTAAGGTCTTGCTAAAGACACAGGAAGATTAAAATGTAGTGTAGTGGAATTACTATAGTTAGTAGCATATATTGTCCTTTGGAAAGTAGGAAACCACACAGGATATCTAGTTACACCATCACCTGTCTATTAACACCAGTTACCCTCTTTAACAAAATACTGTATGATAAGGAGGAAGAAATTAAAACAATACCTAGGCATGTACTCTTGGCTTTGTATTTGTGTGTAATATTTTTATTTTCATTTATAATTTAACCCAGTCCTCTGGATAGCTTTTACTGCATTTACTTACAAATATTGTGCACTGGAATATTTGGAATAGAAATACATTTAACAAACCTCTATTCACAGGAAGCAACATACAGAACCCTTTGCATATAAAACCAGACTTTTTCTCCACCTAGTCAGTTTTTCCTAACTGAACTTACATTGTAATTTTCATGTAACTCTTAAATAGGGAAATAGAAATTCATATATTTCATATATATTTATATATATGAATGAGATAGCTTTTCAGTTCTTGTTGCCTGATAGATGACTATAGATTTGATTTCTGTTACAGGTTCAGCAGTATAGAGTTGCAATGACGGCAAAGGACTGTTCCATTATGATTGTGCTTTCACCTTGTCAACAAGATGAATGGTAATATCTAAATATTTAATATAAATATTTTGTAAAACCCCCCCAAAAACCCCCCAACATTTTTCTATTTTAGTCTGTGAACCAGTCTCTTAAATTTGAGGATGGCAAGCATTTATTAACTGCTTCTAAAACAAGAATGGGAATGCTTCTTTCCCAAACTTCCCATTTCCAGGGATAGTTGAATTTCCCTCCAGGGAGCAAAGTGACTTCTTAACGTCCCTCTTTAGTGATGCTGTGAAGCTTCCAGACAGTTAAATTTGTTCCCCCTTAGCTTTTTCAGGTGGGAAATGTAATGGGTGTGATGCCTCTGTTTTGAAAGAGCTGCTAACATCCAATCATTCCTGGGAATCTTGTGAGGTTTAGCAGTCTTGAGAATGACGGCCATTTAAAAAAAAAAAAATAGAGCATAATGGATGCTCTGGTACTTGATGGGTGCAGTGTTTTCGATCACCTCGTATCTTAAGAGTTGCACTGTGGAAAGATGAGTTCTCCTCAAAAACTTTTTGTCTGATACCTGAACAAAAAGTGTCGCTATGCTTAGGAGCTTCTCATGATGAAATGTCTAATTTTGTATGCAATGGAGAGTTTCACTTAAAGGCTATGACATACATATGTGTATGTTTTATTTCTCTCTGTGTGTAATAATCTGAACAAAACAGAGAAGAAATATAAAATAGAAAACTTTCCACAAAGGTTTGTGTGCACGTTTACAACTGACTTAAACATGATTAATCACATTATTGAAAATTAAGTTTATTTTTTCATTCATTCATTCATTCATTCATTCATTCATTCATTCATTCATTCATTCATGTACTGCTTCATTTGAAGAGGCTATAAGTGGTGTACCAAAAGAGCAAGAGTAAAACAATAGCACAAATGCTGTAAACATTCATAAGAATCGAGCCATTTGTCTATCAGAGCCAATGAAACCAGAATCAATCAACCTCCAAGAGCATTCTGAAACAGATAAGCTTCATCAAGCTTTCTGAAGGCCGTGAGAGTAGGAGCCACCCTTGCCTTGGGAGGGGAAGAGCCCTCACAGGGAGTGCCTCTTTTCATGCCCCTTCCTGTTGAGCTTCATGGTAGGTGGGGACCTTTAGTAGATATTGTCTGCCATTTGGACTGGGTGGGCAGAATCTATCTGGAAAAGATTGATTCATAAATACCCTAGTCTTGAGCCATTTGTAGCTTTATACTTGGAACACCCTACTAGCCAATGCAGCTTTCACAGCAGCGGTGTTATACGGCAGGAGTGAGATGTGTTTGTTTTTTCAATCTAGTTTGTATTATTGCTGGTAAATTTTAAAGTCCAGACATTCAAAATGTGGGAAGTACCTCTGGAATTGTGGTTAGCAGCCAAATTGCTTTCTAATCATTAACTGTATGTTTTCAAACTGCTAAATTTGAGAAGCACATATGAGTAGGAAAGTTGTATGACAGTAACAGAGATAGCCTCTTTACTTTCCAAAATATCTTAGAAACAATTAATTCCAGCAACATGAGAAGTTCCAAGATATAATTTCAATAGTAGATTAAAAGTTATATACCAGTTTATGTTTCTGGGTTCATAAATATCTAGATCTTTATTCAAGTTTAGGATCTAGGTGCATTTATTAAAAAGAACAGGAATAACTTCCTTTATTCCTGGGTTATAAGTGACAAAATAAGCTTTGTGAAAATTGTTACTTGAAGATAAACATGTAGCTAATCTCTCAGTGTAGTTTATTCACAAAGCAGTACTGGTGATATAATAATTTAAGGAAGTTTGAAATAAACAGAGGTAAAAACTAGTGGGAAAATGATCATCATGATCAACCAAATTCTTTTTGCACCACGTTTTGGATTGGAAAAGCTGTATTTTACTTAAGACCACAAGTACTTTAAAAATGCAATGTCAGCTGTAGCTTGTCGCCATTAGGGTATAGGTAGAGTTTTCATATATAGAGGATGAACAGTAAAAGTTAAATGACTTTTTTTCCTCCCGGACAGCAAATAATAAATATTGTTCTTATTTCAATTTCAGCTCTGAACAGAGGTCAGTGGTTCTAACATCAAAATCAAGATTCACCTTTTCAGTGTCTGTCTTGGATCTAGACCTGAAGCCATATGAAAGCATTCGTCATCAATATAAGCTTGATGGGAAGGTAGTGAACTATTATCTGAAGAGGACGCAAGCCAAAGACGACTCAGTGATGTCAAACCTCTTAAAAGAAAATGAAGACTGCACGCTAGTCCTCCATAAAATGTAACTGGCTAAATATTTATTTAACACAGAGGAAAATTAAGTTATGTTTTTTTTTTTATTATTTTCAGTTGTGCTTTCAATTTATATGCCTTTCAGAAACACAAAAAAACTGAAACTGTCTTGAAGAATACATTTACTGTAAGAGAGACACGTACTATTAAAGTAGTTTGAATGAAATGACTATTCTATGAACAATGGAAGAGAATTTGATTGTTCAAATGCAGAAAACCAGCATCCTCATTAAAATTCTAGATGCAGCTATAACCATATGTGAATTACTAAGTATCACTTGTTCAAAATAAATGTGATCAGATCAAATTCTAAACAATTCTTGAGCTAAACAGATTCTTAATGCTTCTTAGACTGTGTCTTGCATATGTATTATCTCTTATCTTCAAAGTGATATTATGGAGTTCTCAGAATTGCTCAAAACTTATTAAAAAGATTTAATGAAAAATCCCCCTTTCTTGAATAATGATAAAAACAATGAACGCAAATTAGCTCCCTTATTAAACAAGAGGTGACTTTAGAAATTGCATAATTTAACTGTAAACAAACAATTGCTATTACAATTAACTGTTAACAATTAACAAATTAACAATTTTTAGCTGCATATGCCTCATTCATATTTAGATCCTTTCCAGTATCAAACCATTCTGAGGCTTCAATGGGAAACAACTTGAGAAGTTAAAAATTGAATTGAATTTTCTCTGGGTGATAGTTTTTCTATCTGCATTTTTGCTTAGCTCCTTTTTAGACCTTCAACAGCAGCTGTTTGTTTTTCTAGGGCTTACAAGTTCAGTAGCAATTGGGTGTTTTATCCTGAACTCAACATTATTAAGGCATTAAAAGTTCTCAGCAAAGAGCCATTTTTCTCTCTCTCTCTTTGCAGGGGTTGTTGGGATCTTTTACCACACATTGCACACAAAACTAGAAAGTAGTGTGATATGCCTTAGAGTTTGCTGAGGAAGGCTTAAATTCTCCTTGCTGTGCTGCACGGTGGCAATAAGGGTGACTTGAAGTGACACTGACATGTCATTTTCTAATGCTGGCTGTGTAATTGGACCTCTGAATTCAGAATTTGTGAATCTATGGAATTACTTATAGGTTTATTGTAAAACAGGAAGAGAAATTCTAGATTGTCTTAATGGCAAAAGTTAAATGTTAATGTCAGTAGACAAAGGATTCTTACGTGCTGTGAGAGAATTCAAACCAAAGCTGCATCAGCTATTCAGAAATTGCTGGATTGGAGCCAAAGGTGTCTTGCACCAGAGGAGCTGTACAACATAGGCTCTCTGAATCATGTCAGTGATGTGGATTCCTGCAGATGTGATTTTGGTGTGCTTTGCAGTGGGGAAGAAGAGTCGAAGAATCTCTTTCCCCTCCCCCTCTCCCCCCTTTTGTAAGAATAAGTTCTGCAATTGCTTCTTTGAATCTTACCACCTTTTACAGCCTGGGCATTTAGTGGCATAATCTTATCTTTTGATTTTCATGTATCATCACTGAAATATTTATCTGTCTGAAAGTATTCCTAAAGATCTGTAATGATACTTTGTGTGGATTCCAGTTCATCTGCTATTATAACGTTAAGTATAATGTCAATATTTTATGAGTGTCTCTCATGAATTCTGCTCCTAGATCCATTAATTCCAAAAAAAGAAAAGAATCTGTATCTTGTGATATTTATTCAGCTTAATTCTAAGGTTTTGTCCTCCTGAGAGAGACTCTGGGCTGCAAGTCAGAGGATGTCAAGGGCATAGTTCTAGAATGTGATTTGAATCTAGTAAATATGTAATGAACAATTAAATGAACATAACTCTTAAACTTATTGGTAACTGTGAATCTTGCTAAACTTGTTCAAACATACTTTATTGAAATATGCTCAATTATAATACAAAGCATCTTCCAGAAGGGCTACCATTCTTAAAGCAAATAAGTAACTAGAGGTGTGCAAAGCATTTCAAATTTCAAAATGTTTTGTATACCCTAAGTAATACTAGGAAATGATACAAACAGCTGTGCAGCATTGGGCATTTGATTTGGAGAAGTATCACCTGCAATAGGCAATCAGCAATAGGTCAGATTCTGCATTTAGGAAATATTTACATGGCAAGCTAAGCTAAAAATCTTGCTTAGTGCTATTTTGCTCACTGTACTGTGCAGGTCTCCTGTGGCATTCCATGTGTGAATCCAAAACTTGCTTCCAGAAAGCAGAATTTGTAATCTTGAGTAGAAATCCTAGTTTTGGCAAACCTAAGATAGTAACCATTTTAGGTTGGGCTGATATGATAAGCTGCTAAGCTTACTTAAAGCTGCATTGGCAGGTGTAAAATGATGGTGAGTGCTTATTAACCAAGCTTTTTAACTTAGATTGTTGCATCTTACTGTCTATAACTAGGAAGGCATGTGATGAAAATGTTGGTTGAGGTGCTCAGTTTGAGTCTTCACCTTTGAAAACTGATGTAAACTTTGCTTTTTCTAAAAAACTTACAGCACTTTAAAAGAACAGTGAGAACTTTACATAGCTACTTATATACTTGAGTTGCATTTTAAAAAGTTGATCCTGGGAGATCTAAATATGGAAAGTGAATACTGGAATATTTGGGCAAGTTATATGCAGATCAATGCCATCATTTTTGCCCTTTTCTGTACTCAGTCTTCTTGGAGCATGTGGTTAATAAACTGCAGCTTATGCTTTGTAAATTAAAATGTCTCAATTCTGTTTTATGAGAGAGGTATGATAAACCTGGTTTGCCTTCAATCACTGATTGTGGAAGAAGTAGTAGGTGTGCTACCGTATGATGTTTCTGTAGCTTAATTTTGATTGTCATCAAACTGTTCTGTATCATTATTATTCTAGAATCACTGTTACATATACAGCTGTGAACTGAAACTGCCACTTTTTTTAGACTTGAATTTATCAGGCTGATCTGAGGAGGTTCTAGGAGTTGATTTAGAAGGGGAAAAACCACTTTGATTCAGAAAGTTAATTTTTTAATGAAATGCATTTTACTTGTATCTGATTTGACATTTTGTATTTAAATAGCTGTATTTATTTGTCATGACAATTTATATATATGTGCCATAATTGTACAGATAGCATGTTTTATGGGTATGGTTTCTAAATGGAAAATAACTTAATGTTTATATTCAATAAAATGATAGATGCGTAACTGGTTTTCCTGGCACTCATTTGCCTTTGGAAATTGAACGGATCACAGTTTCAATGGAGGCCTGTATCCCAACCACATGCAATAGGCTTCGGAAGCAGCATGGAGCATCAGATGCAAATCTGTCAGCTATGGCACCTATCAGAGGAGAAGAAACAGAGAGTTAAAACTGATTTCAAGTACAAATAGTCTAGGCTTGGAATTTTAAACAGCTGCTTTCTTCCCTGGCAGCAATTGGTGTCAGAAACTTGTTTTTTGAAAAAAGTCTAATTGCTGCACAGAACTGAGAGGATGCAGAGAGGTGTACTTCCCTTTAACTGAGATTCCTCATGAAAATTGCCATCTCTGGCCTGACAAGAATAAAATGTTCAGCCCGCTGGGACTGTGTTGTATCTTTTTGCATGTTTTCAGTGTCTCCAAAAGAGACTGCTGAGTGGCAGTCAACAAGATAAACATAGAAGATTGTCAAAGTGAAAACAAAGCTGAAGGAAATGGTTGTGACAAAGGGAAATACAAATTTTTACCTTGTAGTGGTATTTTGTTCAGAAGATCCAAGATTGGTGTAATGGTTCCTTTTTCATCTACCTGTATCTTCCAAACAATCATTAATTCAAATCTATAAAAGTCAGAAAACATAGTTAAAGCAAGAGTGCATATAGATAGGGACATACTCTCACTGGCAAAATAGAGAGAATGTACCTGTATCAAAGCCTTTATTTTAAATGCTGGAACATCTCATGCAAAGACGGTTTGGGGCTCATAATACAAAACACTGTTTTGAATTTCTGAGCTTGGTACAGTCTTCTGGAGGATGAAACCTAGAAAACTCTTGAAAACGCAGAGTTCCTCATTTAGCTTTTGTGCAGCCATATTGGCTGCTTCTGGTTTCCCTTGTTATTCTTTCCGACCCAAGAAAATGTTGGAAAGAAGCTATGCAAAGGAGATTGGGTGTCAGCACAAAAACTCTTTGAAACTGAACAGAACTGGGCCAAATTTGGGGGTGGGGTGGGGGGACAGAAGTCAACAAAAGGAAGAAGTTCAAAAATGGGCCAAATGATCCCAGGGGCTGTGTAGAAAAACACTTCCCCCCAATTCCTCCCATGGGAGAGGCAGTTGGACAGGGGCTCAGAATGTTGCTATCTACTTTTATTCCCACCCGCTGGTCATGTGACCCAGAGTAACACAAAAGCAGCTTACCCCGGACTGCCTAATGCTCACATACCCACAATATGGGTCCCGCTGGTAAAGGAAAAAAATCCAGAAGCCATGCTCCGCATGCTTTCCCTGCCTTGTTTTTGTATTGGAATTGTCTCATTTTGCTTTTAGTTTCACCTTGTTTAGAACTCCCACCTATCTTGAGCTCCTTTTCCCATTCGCTTTTCCTGCCATGGAATTATTTCTTTGAGTTTATTAAAATTGTTTATTAAATCCAACATATAGTGTTTCCAACTGCATGATATCAAATCAAGGATATCTGCTACTCTTATTGCAGTCTTTCACGCTTTAAAGGAGAAATCAGGAATTTCTGGAAGGACCACACTTGGCAAAAATTTCCTCGCAGATGGTGCGGTATTTAAAGTCCATCATCATTATTATTTCAGGCCTCTTTGAAGGATCTGCAAGTTGTATTTAGAGAGCAGCTTCTACATCTGCAAGGTTGGGTGGACAGTAGTAGACACCAACAGTGTTGCTTTTATTCTTTCTTCCACTTATTTTAAACCAGATGATCTCCATGGTATTATCAAGTTCACTGATTTGGATTTTTTTAGATAGTGCGGAGATTTTTGTATATGCAGTGCATTTCTGTTTCTGTTGTGTTGATTTCTTTTGAACATTTTTAAAAAGTGTATTTGTTTTTTTAAATAATTTATTCAAAAATGTTTATTTTGTTTTGGGAGAGGTTTATCTTGAATTTTTTTTTTCTTTTAGGGGAAAAATAATGTGCTTTCCCCCATAAGCTATGGCTTTTCAGTATTTTAAGGTATATTATGAGTTGATTAATATGATATCTGAAAAGTGCTTGTGCTTCTGTATGGCTTGGGAGAGAACCTAGTTCTCAGCAAGGTTCACAATTGTTCTTGCTTCCCTTAAGTACATTGCTTTAATATCCTTAGGGTCTTTGAATGAGAAAAATATGGCTATAGCTAAGCTATTATACCTCTGCACCACCAGCTTCTATGGATATCTGCTACCACTGATCAACATGAATCAGTTAAGTTGCCTTACCCAGGAAGTTGAGTGCTTCTTAAGATCATGTAATCTCCATATAAACCTTCAGGAAGTACTACAATATCAGGATACTTATTCTATTAAAATTAAAAAAAGAAATGATGTAATCTATTCAGTAGTCTAATATAAATAGGATACTACAAAAATATCAATTTTTATAAGACATGTAACTAATTTGTTTATGTGAAATTTAACCTCTTATGTAAATATTTGACAGCCTTATCATAAATATTTCAAAGCAGGTCATAGTAAGATGTTTGGTTTTTTTGGTTAGCAACACTGGAACAAAGATGTCAATGATGCCATCTCAGAATAACTGAAATAGGTCCGATAACACTGTCACTTGACTTCTGCTAATACTGGTCGGGGGAGCTGGTTGTAGAGATGAATAATAGATGAGATTTTATTGGTGCTTCAAAGTTGATGAAAGAGAATAATCTACCTGTAACTTTGTGATAATAAATAAATGACCACTCACTTTCCAGTTATTGACTGACTGATTATGTGCCATCATGTAGTTGATTCTTAGCGAACACATAGGTAGATTTTCTCTTTTCCAGTTAACATTAATAGGCTACCTTTTGGCTGATGGGCACATCTGGAATTTTAAAAGGATAGCCTGGACTCTCACAAAAAAGTGCCATAGAATGACTTGCGGATTCCCCAAATGGCTGGAATCTTCTCACAAAATACCCCCTTTCCAGAAAACCAACACTTTTAGTCCCTTAGACATTCTCTATTACCTGAAGCTTACTACTTTTGTTCCTAAGAAAGTGGTACACATCTCTAAATGAAGTGTGGAGTTCTTGGTGTTCTCTGAGCTTGGTTGTTTGCGTGCAGATGTTTCATTACCCAATCAGGTAATATCATCAGTGAGACTGAGTCTGGGGTTTTCTGCCTGTTTACATGCAGTAGCTTGCCCTGGTAGTTTTTGTGGGAGTGTAGTTTCTACCTTGTTGGTTCCTTGATTAGAGTATTGTTTTCTGCTTTGTTTGTCTGGTGCTGATCCCTGCTTATCTGAGTGTTGGCTGCTGGAGAGGATGTGTTGTAGTCTTCTTGTTTCCCTCCTAGGTTTTTTATTGTCTCTTTTGAATGGTGTGTAAATGCGGTTTATCTCTATGTAATGATGATGTTACCTAGTTGGGTAATGAAACATCTGCAAGCAAACAACCGAGCTCAGAGAGCACCAAGGACTCTACAGTTCAACCCTGAGCTACAGATATGCTCTTCTATTGGATCTAAATGAAATGCTATATTGCAGCCATTTACCATTTTTATTTTTTTAGAATGTATGTTGAATCTGTAAGTAATAGGAATGATTAGAAATCAGGGTGATGATAGAGATGCTGATGCTTTGCAGAATGTTAGGTTCCTGTGCCTATTTATTTATTTGCATTTTATTAAAATAATTGAAAGGAAAAGACAAATGTTACAAAGAAAGTATTCACAAACATATTTTTGTCCAGAGGTGCTAAGTCACCTGTCCCTATTCTCACCCAGTTCAAATAAGGCACAAGACTCAACTGTTCAGTTTGTCCAAAGGGCACCCACTGGAATGCCCTTGAAGATACTTTGCTATAGAAAACCTTCATCACAGTGAAATATCCCAGAAAAGGGAGAACAAAAAAGAGGAGGGTAGATCAAATCAACCTAAATGATGCAGCTAGAATTTTTAGGTGAATATTCATTTTTATATAGCATGCAATCTTATACTCTTTACTTTTCTTGCTTCCTACATATTTTAAACAATATATTACATTATTACTTGTTTTTACTTTATTTAAAATATTTTTATCCTTCTATTTCATTTGAAATTACTTTTCAAAAATTGTAAAAATCACAGAATATATTAGGGAGGGAGGGAGGGAGGGAGGGAGGCACTGAACCCTACTTTTTGTAGCTAATCCAATTTATCAAGCAAGCTCATTCAATCTCATTCAGATTTGCAGAATGATACCATCTTTAACTTTGCACCATATAAAGGTTGTGTTAGTTTCTATACCTAAAGAATTCATTGAAATATACCATTTGACAGGGGTGCCTACACTTTTACATACAACTATAAGTTCTTCACCCATAACTTTTATGCTTTAGTTATTTAGGTGCTAGGTTTAACTCTAAACACACATAGCAAACCTCAGTGATGATTTAGCTTAGCTTGGTACATTATGTCAAGGATAGAGAATCAGATGCAGATAAATTATTTAGCATGCTTTAGTTTGATTCTGAAAATGCAAGGGATATACGAGAGGATGTTATAGAGATTCTTCAGTTTCAGACCTGACATGCATAAAAAATACAGCAGAAATACACATTTTCTCAAATTTATGTTCCACTTCCTGTAATTGTTTCCAACAAAATTTGAGATAAATTTTAACACTGCATGGTTGATGTAATCACTATGCAAGCTATTAAATGATAAATGTTTGACACTGAAACTTTTGTAATTACTTTACTAAGTTTAGATGGTGCTTTCGGTATTTGGAGTAGAAGCTGTCTCATAATAAAACAATCTGATGGTATGCAGACTATTTTATCAAGTCTCCATTTAAATTCTTTAGGGTGGAACTCCCCAAGAAAGAATTTAAAAAGGAGCAGGCAATTGATAATGGTTTCATACTGGATTCCACTATCTGCTTTAAGAAGTGTCTCAGATATTTAATTAGATGGTAAAAAAAAAATTGAAAGGAAAAGTTAATGAAGGAATGAGCAATTTCTTTTCCAATGGTCAGCAAATGAGTCAGGAAAGAAAGATAAAGGTTAGCTAGAGATATTTCCCCAATGTTTCTAGTTTCTTTACAGATTGTATTATAATAAGCTCCTTTCCAAAATGGAAATAACTGGACAGGGAAAGCACAATGACCCAAAGGAAAGGGTGGGATGTTACCCTGAATGATAATTCAGATGAGGTCCACAGGTCATAAATACAGATCAACTTTCATTTTTAAGATAATTGTTTACTTTGGGTGACATCTACAACTTCAAGTTGCTCAGTATTTTCCTCAGACCAAGGGCATTGATTTTTCAATTCAAAAAAAAAAAGGCTAATGCATTCATAAAACATTTCCCAGTAACAACTTAGAAATGTGTGCTGTGGGTCACTGTAGTTGTGAGTAGCCCTGAATAGAAAATAGGATCATGTTATGATTTCCCTGTGCAAATGGAAAATACTTTATAGACTCATAATGTAAAAATATCATTCATCACTGCATATTTTTATATCTGCAAGAGACTACGAAATGTCTTCAATCCATAGTGCCCAGAAAAGGGACGAAGCTTTTCAGTAACAGAAAACACAACTTTCAGCCGGACCAATTTTGGGTCTTACCTAACTGCACGAAGGCTGTGAGATTTGATGCTGCTGCCACATCCAAGAGGGAACCTGGTCTTTTACAAGGAACTTTCTCTCAGGTTCAGCTTATTTCATCCCTAACCTGATGACATTCTCCTTTCCACATTAGTTGTTGGCATGCTACATTTCAAAAAACACAATGAGCAAGTTTTGACCTGTGTACATAGATTTGTTTGGGTTACAAGAGTAGTAGTAGAGCTGGGTGCGAATTCCCTAACACAGGTGTTCACAAAAATGCGGGTCACAATTCTGGGGAAGGCTGTGAGCAATTTAGTGTTAAATCAGTTAAAAAGAAATTGCTGCAAACATGGGGGTTCAGCTTGGATTTTGAGTATTACTAAATTTCCAAATGGCTTTTCTACATGCTTAGTTTTTATAGTTGAAACATAACGGTTCTATGAGCTGCCAACAACATTGCACTGTTTAAATTAGATTTATTTTATAGAATGTGTTTTAAAATGACATTTTAGTAATGGCAGTTCCTATCTATTTTACAAAATTTTAAATTATCCACTAAAATGCATTCTTATATCAACAAGGTAGATCATTTTTATTTGGTTATTTGGTATTTTATTTGGTTTCATTAAAGCAGAATTTATTCCTGGATTAGAGTTTTTAATGCAACTAAAATGAACAAAACTCTCATTTCTGCACAAAAAAATTCTACACTGAAAGTGAAAACTTCACATATGAAAGTAAAAGTGACAATTCTTGATTGTGTGACAAATTATTATTGGATATAGGCAACCACTTAACATCACCTGTTGAGCTTGAAATTTTAGAAAAAGTTGTGTATTATGAATCTATAGCAGAAGTATATATGTCAGTGAACACTAATTCTATCCATTAGTTTAAATTTCTAGTCTCTGAGAGTGGAAAAGATTTTGTTGGATGGTAAGATAAAAGCTAAAGGTGATCAGAGTAAGCCCAAATCAGGTGTATGATAAAAGTTACGTATCTTCTGGCAATATATAAACACTACCCCCCCGCCCCCCGCAAATCCTTCGTTTTATTTAGGGGAGGTTCATACACATTCATTTATCATATTAGGGAGTCAACAATATTGCAAAATCTAAGAATTCCTGTCCTAACAGCAAAAACATGTTACATATTTTCCGTGCATGACACTAGTTCTTAGTCTCTCTTCAGGAGATCATAGCAACTGAAGAGTACAGGAGTATCAGGGTAATCTGTGAAAGCTGTATATTGTTATGCCATTTGTCCACATAATATTTCTCATTGTTGAGATGTATTACAATTGACTAATCATTACTTTTTGTTAATTTCATTTATTAGGCTCTGATTATTAAGCTTGTGAGTTCATCTACCTATGACACCTGTCAAACCTGGTCCCTGTTTCTCTTGATCAGTTTCCTCAGACACACAACTCAGTTCAGACATAATGGCTTTGGGAGATGCTTAGATACCTTCTGATTATGAGTTTTGGGTCTAGCTCTCAGTTTTTCTATTTCATTTCCACCTGATATGAATGAGTGAATGATAAAGATGGTCAACTATAATGACTGTTGTTTTAGATGTATGAACATTTTACCTCTTCCAGAAAAAAGTGGGAAGTAATTTGAGATTGTTGTAGGATCTGAATCCAAAAAAAGTTTCTACTGAATGTTCTGTCACAACAGGGGTACAGGAAGAAAGCTTGGGGGCTGCTCTGGGAACTTAAGTAGAGTAACTCAAACGGGGATACTAGTGAAAATAAAGAGGTTT